AACTAAAAATAAGTGTATAGTCACACTTACTATGCTGGTCGGTAGTCTTTTCCACCAAAGCGCTTAACTTACTGACACCTTTGCCGTTAAACGCCTGCATGGCAAACTCGTATGTAGTGTGTTCATTTAGTGGTTCCACTAAAAGGGATGTCGCTCCGGGTTCATCAATAGTTTCATTTTCCCAAGGTGGAGTGTTTTTAACCCGGTGCAAAACGTAATAGCCTAAGATGGCACCTCTAGCTTTGTCTTTACTCAGCATCTGGGTTGTAAAGTTAACAAAACTTTAAATCGATGACCACAACTTCTCAGTATGTGCAATGGTTAAGATAGTGCATTATAACAATAAAAACCTTTAGATTAAAGGCTTAGTTTTTTTTAATGTCTATCTTCCTATTTTTTTATTAAAAGTTACATTAATTTTACAAACACATTCCCAGTCCCGTGAGTTTTTGTGTCAGTTCACGCGATTTCAAAGACCTTAGCCATATATACACTGTAGGCGCGTGGTCTTATGACATGTATTTTTCAGTAATTTAAAGAGTTCCCGTTGTTTGATTGCTTTACCCGCATACAGACTATAATGCAGCACAGAATATGCAAATGTAAATGTACTTTACATGCAGCTTCACGATACAATCAAAGAGGAAGTACCGAATTCAACATATTACATTTAACATTTAATGCAAAATTTTGTAGTATTTAATGTTTGTCTTGACAAAAAAGATATGTGAACAAGTAACTCAGGTTTGAAACTCTTCCCTTCTTGATGAAAAACGACTCATAAGTATTCTAGGCATAGAAACATTCATTTGAGGTTACATGCAATATCTGGTAATTACCTGCCAGGAAACATTCACAGCAGTTGAATTTAGAACAGTCACAACAAAAGTTGGAGCCTCGCTTGGCACTGCAATAAGGAATTAAATATTTTGTTTTCCATGAATATATGTCGAAGTGTAGCAAAAAACGATAACAGCACTAAAAGAAATGTTTTACAGGCGTTCAATTAACTCTCACGGAACTTCTTTTGATCTTCTTCAAGAGAGTCACAGATAGCCTGAATTGGAATGGAATTAGTGATTTAAAACAACACAAGCAATATTTGTTATATCAAAACAGACATAACATTTATGTAATATTTATATTCATTGCATCCGTTTTCAAATCACCAGTGATCCTTGCAATTCAATTGGCTTGATTAGTACAATTTATTCACTAAAAGCACCTTTTTATGCTCTAAATCGCATACTTTTTTCCTCAGCTAATGAAACGGCCTTACAAAAACACAACAACCAATCAGATTTCAAGGCTCGTTTAAAGAAACCAATCAAATTGCGGTAAAATGAAAGACAACTTCTGCAACTTTTTACAAACCAGCCAATGCTGGACCAATGGACAGATTAACTAATCCTGTATTTGAGCGACTGAATTTGCGATTTCGAAATAGATGTACAGTAATAAAATAGTGACTAAATTTCACGTTGTAAAAATTTGGTTTGAAGTCATACTTGTGATTCCAAATCAAACTCGCGCTGCGCGCTTGTTCGATTTTGAAATCACGCATATGATTTTAGACTAACGAAACTGCGCGACAATTGGTACAATAACCATTATAAATCAGGTCACTTCAGAAGAGAATCAGTAAATATCAGATGATTAACAGAAACAAATACAGGGTACAACAAAAAAAATATATAACTTGTAAAGTAACTTCTACAAATTTTCCAATACTACAGTGTAAGGTCCAATCCCCTGCCATGTTCTTGTGGTAAATGTGTGGCTTTTATTCATAGCTCTTTTTGTACAAATTAAAAAAAAAAAAGGAGAGAGTAAGCAGCATACCTTCTTCGTCTGTGGTAACATTCAGAATAGGGCTGTTGTTACTTCTGCCAATTTTGTTTGTCGCGAACACCCTAATATTGTACGTTGTCCAAGGAAAAAGACCTAAAAGAGAGGCAGTTGTGGGGGAACTCGAAACCACACAGGCACTGCTCGAAAGTGATCCTTGACAAACAGTATCATTAAAGATCTGATTATCTTCACTAATCTCCACTGTGTAGTTCTTAATGGCACTATTTCCATAAAAACCAGCTTTCCAAGAGATATTCACCACCCGAGAGCCTTCAAAATCAACCGTCAATGTATGTGGTGGGTCTGGTACCACTGTGGAATTAAACAACACTTCAGTATTCATTTCACCACTCAGAGAGATGAAGAGTTATAAAAATGTTCTACATTGGACAAGCTCTACGTTAGTGATACTAGAAAAATGAGCTCATCTCCTTTAATTATTTGGATAAACCACGTTGTATGATTATCTTTCCCATAGAACTGCAGAAATGGATACCCAATCATACTCTCAGATGGAAAGAGGTGCTGGTCTTGGTCAATGACCAACAGTAAGCCAAGAGTGGAAGCTGACCATTTTCATTTTAAATCCAATAAAACAACAGCCCTCCATACTATAGTCTCCTTCTCAGCCGCTGTTTGGTCTTGTTAGGCAATGTACTCTCTCTCCCACCAACATGTTGTGTGACAAGACCAAACAATGACTTTGAAGTAGACTGTCCAAGCAGTGGCAGTCTTATTTGCCACAGACAGTTGAAAATGAACAAAAAAAAAAAAACTATCAATAAACTGGCAGCAAATGTGGCTTAGTTGAGGACCTGAGTTGGGCCAACACAAAGAAAGCCATAATGTGTACATTACTTGGTGTAACTAAGATTAAAAGATATAAAAAAAGAGACTCGTATACAGATATAGTTCATGTATAGCTGCAGTTATTAATATTTGTTGTTTCTTTCCAAGTCAGCTTAATTTAACTCTTACAAAATTAGATCATAGATCACATTATAGTTACTGATGTGACACTGTGTGTGAGATGTGCTGATGCTTGTCTACGTTTTTTTGGTTTTTCTCTGTTTACTGGCAGAATTTACCTTCTTTTTTTTCTTAAGGGGGGAGGAGAAGAAGGGGGAAAGAACCCTTTCAGAAGTTTAGGCTGTCCTTTATCCCTCCAACCAGTAAGAGTGATTGTAATCTAATTCTTCCTTATAATTTTATTATCCCTTAATCACACAATAAGGTAACAAGAATAAGGGAAAGAGGAAGCTTTCATTCATTAGGGAAATTCTCCTTGTCAGTGCCAATAGGAAATGTCTGGAGAACAGTATGGAGAATGTACATACTGATCTTAAGGTGTAAAGGGTTAAAGACAGTTGAACTTAGAGCTGAATTTCCTCCTTGAGAAGTTAAAAAAAAAAAAAAAAAAAAAGGAAAATGGAACCAGTTTCAAAATAAGTCAACAAAGTTAATAAAAAAATGAAGAAGCCATTCACTGTTTAACTCTCGGGAGTGATTAACATGTTACTTCTCCCTACAATAACCATACGTAACCCAGCAAGCAGGTAATGAGAATACTCAAACTTATTGGGGAAAAGTTGTTATCTTGATCTAACACCAAATTCTCCCAGTTACTTTACAAGGAAATGTGTAGCAGCTAGAGGGAAGAATTAACAATCAGATCATGGGAGTTAACTGGAATCTAAACAACCATCCTAAAGAGAGGAGAATCTGCATAAAATACTGTACACAGTGATGAGATCAAATAATAGTACAAAATATCATAATTTATAATATACATCATTGAGAAAGACATACCTTGTATAAGAACTGAAGTTATATCTGAGGAATTGCCGACAGCATTTGTGACAAAGCAGGTGTAATTTCCCTCATCATTCCTTGTACTTGATGAAATTAAAAGGTGTGATTGACTTTCAGTGAATTCTGTAATATTCACCAATCCATTAGCAATTCCACTATCATTCCTAGCTATCACACTTCCATCTTTAATCCATTGTACCTCCGACACTGGTGGCGAAGCATTATACTGGCACATCAGGTAGATCTGTTTGTTTATTTCAACATACTTTTCTTCACTGCCACTGATTTTGACATCTGCTCTAACTGTAATCATAAGGATTGTTCAAGTTAGTCACCACAAAATGTGAACACTATTTGAAATTTTTTTTTGAATTATGTCATATATTATTGAACAATTTGGTGTGTAGTATCCTTATGTATTTCTAATTGTTGTTTGTAAATGTATATTGACGAGCACACAAGGAAAAACACCAAATCAAACCACGCTTTAGGTTATCTGCCTATATCATCCAAATGTTTTATCTAAAATGCATCTCATATAATGCAACAAAAGCAAAACAAATTGAGAAGTGGTTTGTGACCAGTCTTGCACAATGCTTGCATCAGATTGGCTCATGAGACATCAATTTGTCACACAAAATTTCAAAACATTTCAAAGTGAAATTTTAGTTTAGGTCCTTGTTCTCAAATCCTTGGAAATCAAATCAAATCAAATGGATGTATACTTCACAAAAGATGTTGTCCATTATTTCCTAATATTTCCTTTTGTGAAAGTTCTACCAAACAGGTACATTTATACCGAAAGTGTTAACACATGACATGCCTAAAACAAAAGTTTATGTGTTTAAGGTGACAGAACAGCAATACAACCTCTGCTGAGTACATGTGCACTTAAAACCTGCAATAACCCTTCAACTCCCAATATCTGTTTCTTAATTCTCCCTTCTAGCTGCAACACAGTTCTTTTTAATTTACATGTGGTTGCAAGAATTTGGTTTATGATCAAGATAAAAACTTCTGCCAATACTAAATGAAGTCTTAGTTTTCTCTTATAAACTTATTTGTTGAGTAACATATTCATACTGTGGGGAGAAGTTACATGTTAATCACTTCTTGGAGTTAAAGGATTTAGCAGACACTGTGAACAATATCAAGCAGACACTACAAGTTCCTTTGGGTGTCTTCTGAGCAGACACTACAAGTTCCTTTGGGTGTCTTCTGAGCAGACACTTATATGTATAAGGGTCTCAGGTACCTGATGTGCTGACTTACCAAAGATTTCACCTAACCAATACTAGTAAGCATGCTTTGACATTAAGATCTCATATATTTGCAATTCAGTCTGAAAAATAATACTCACAGTTGACTGTCAGTTTTCCTGGAGCTGAAGTGGTGGTATTTACACTGTTATTTGCCACACATCTATATTGGCCTTCATCTCCTCGCACAATATTGGTAATTGTCAAACTTGAAGTGTTTCCCTTAAAGTCAGAAACAATAATCCTTTGATTTTCTGATATATCAATTCCATCTTTAGTCCATTTCACATCTGGTGTAGGATTTCCATTAACTGTGCAGTTCAGAGTTAAGTTAACATTTTGCTCTTCTATTACTGTCACATTCTGTGGGCTGCTGATAAATTCAGGAGGAACTGGAAAAAAGAGAAGATGTCTGAGTATAATAAGGAAATTTTGATATATATAGTAAGTGTAGCATTCAATAAGGCCATGAAAATACTTATAACTAAATACTGATTTAAATTTATTTCAGCTTCATCCAGAGAAATGGCTTAGTTTCATCTAGGATTCCTTCATATGGTGATCTCTTGTAAAGGTCAGCCTTTGTGGTTTGAGCCTACCTCCATGGAAATTTTTTCCTCTCCAGTCTTCACTTATTGTAATAACCTCTCCTAATTTTTTTGCGATATATGGCCTTCAGCTCTTTCTTTGAAGGAATGAAGTGACCTTGCAGTTATGTAATGCATGATAGGTTGGACCACAACCAATGAACATCTGTATTTGTTTTATAGACTGACCAGTCTTATTTGTACAAATGCAATAACCCCAAATTACAAATGCATTAAATTTTGTTTCATCACAAGCAGCAAGAGAGTAGAGGGTGGTAAAGGGTTTATATCTGACATGTTAGCATACCCAAAAGTAATACCTATTGCATGAATTCCATAGCAATTTAATTTGAAGTAATGTATTGCACTAAACACTGTTTAAAGTATAGATAACACTTGAAAAATTCTAAAATTTGTACATGCAACAGGATCCAGGCCCTCCCCTTTCTCCCCCCTCCCCTCCTGCACCTCCATTTGTTCCCCTCATAGTATTAGGCTTTAACCCTTTACCTCCTAACATCAGTATACATATTCTCCACACTATTCACTGTACGTTTCCCAAGGTGCTGACAAAGAGAATTTGTTTGATAATCAAGAGCTGCTTCTGTTGATGATCATTTCCTGTCTATTCTCATGACCTTAATGTTTGATTCAAGGGTGATATTGTAAGGAGAAATTAGATGCTGGTCACTCTTAGGGGTTAAAGGGTTAACAAAGCCTTTTGCAGTGTTCTCCAGAGATTGTTATAGTATCGAGACAGAAAAATCTCAAACTGACAAAAGTTAAAATCTATTTCAGATCAAGACAAGTATTTCACAACTCTGTTGGACTGTTGATTAGCTGTTGTGATTAAGAATCAAAAAGCTTGCACAAGGACCACCATTTTTGATCTCAATGGAAATATCCTCACCTACCAGTGTATAGCTGATATGAGCACAGGCACAGGCACATAAATGTTAATAACAAATTAATTGGCAAAAGAGAGTTATGAAAATCATGTACTTAATTTTCTCTCAACAAGCACTACTACATTGAAAAGATAATTTTAGAACACAAAAATAAAAACTTGATGCTGATCTTGTTTGAACTTATTACAAAGTGATTTCTCACAACATCACAGACGTTGAGGATTGATAATTAACTGACTCTAACTCAGTGTATGAACAGTTGCCAAGTTTACAATCTTTAAAAGTGATCCATTCCAAAGAGAATTGAGCATGTACTGTTCGAACAAAACTACCATTTTGGCATCAAGAGGCTAAAGAATTGTTGTGGAGAGGTGAAAAAACTAACAATTTCTGATTTTTACCGACTTCTGGCCATGTTTTGAAAGCCATTACCGACCAACTGCATGATGATAAATATTGCCAAGTAAATGACGGTGACAGACACTCAGGCTGTCAGACAACTGGGTGATCGTTCCCCAGTCTATCAGTTAAAGGGTATACAGTGCTGCTATTAAATCTAGCGCTTTGAGAGGAAAGACAGAACAACTACAGATAATAACTTCCTCAACTTGACAGTGGAACTATGAACGAGAAACAGTTCCAATTTGCGTTGCGTGTTCCAAGGTCGTTTATAAACAAACCAGCCGCTAAATATAGTTGTTTCAGAACACCAACGCTCGATGGCAACTTATATTTTCAAAATAAAGTCACCAGTCACGTCCCATCGAGGAAAATTATCCACGTAACATATGCGTAACCCAAATCAAGAGGAAGTGCAAATAGTTTAAAAATATTCGAAATACTTTCGAGTCATAATTGGTGTTTAACTGGCACCTGTGTGTAAAATAGCTTGTATGTACTAAAGTTTGCGAATTTTTTGGTATCTCCGTTATGCAAACGAAGTTTACGTTTGGTGAGTAAAGCAATGAATTCGATTAAACTTTGTTGAGGCGGATTTATGTCGAAGCCATAATTACACAAGAAAAACGAAACATTCGAATTAAATTGCAATATCGAAATATTATGCCGAAGAAAATCGACCAAAACTTTGCATTTCAACAAATTTAACTTAAAAAGCTTCTTCTCTCACACATAAGAGAATTAATTCCCATCATTACGTTAGTATTTAACGCGAAAATTCAATGCGCGGCCGGAGCAAACACCTCGTACACAGAATAGGTTAAGTCAACGTAAATGATTTCCGCTTCCAAATCTTACAAACACTTCTGTCTTCAAAAGAAGAAAAATCACTTTTACCTCCTTGGCCTGATGAATAAGATACTAACAGCAGAATGACGAAGAACCAATGATAGAGACGTTCTCTGAACGTAAAAGTTCCGGCTTGAAATTCGTCCATAGTTAGGAAGCACAGTACGATCGAAGCCGCTGTTTAGAATATTTGATCGTACCCTACCCCCCTAAGAAGATCCACTGAAAATTTTGCTGCGGTTGATTAGGTCACGACCTTAAAATAACTAATAATAAACTTGTCTGCTCTATATTACCATACAAGTCAAAAATTGTCTTTCCTCTTTTAAAAAAGACCGCTTTCGACTTCCGTAAGTCGCAATAGTCGGGGATTTTTTTCTTATTAAAGGAGGAAGAAGAAAGAATCAGCCAAAAAATGGCTAAGCTCTGTTAATCATTTCTAAGGTTACAAAAGCAATATCATCACAAAGAAAATTCGAGAACGTGCGTGACGTAAAAAATAGCAACTCCTTTGTGTTTTCACTAATGTGAAGAGGTTGAAATACCAAAACAATTACGTTTTAAAAACAACTGATCCAAACCAACTGTAGTTATTTTTAACGATAAAGGGATTTTGTAAGTTACTTACATTGTACATTTAGATCTCCTGGAGATGATGTTATGTTGCCAACACTATTAATAATCACACATCTGTATTGTCCCGAATCCGATCGATGAACATCTCTGATTGTCAAACTGTTATTGTTGTTCAGTGACGACGCTGTTAGTTGTAGATTTGTTGTTGTGTTCAGTTTTTCCTCGTTCTTCGTCCAAGTGACTCTTGGTGAAGGATTTCCATCTACCGTGCAACTAAACACAACATCTTCTCCCTCAACTATGGTGACATCCTTCGGATTTTCCACGATTTCAGGTGCAACTTGGAATTTAAAAACATAAGTGTTACGCTCTGTTAACTCAAATCAGTGAATATCACAAGCTACCGGCTTATTCCTTTGCATATCTCAAAGTCCTCGTCATTTTTTCCATTTTTTTAGTTTTTTCAAAACATGACTTTTTACCAGTGAAAGACTATAGGGTTATTTCAATTCTTAGTACTCTTTTTTTCATACTTATCTTGTGTATATTTCATCATCTAACTAACGATAAATGAGAAAACGTGATTTGTTATTTCTGCTAGGACCTAGGAATGCTTTGTCATGAGTGATAATGAGCGATGTTTAACGAAAAGTTCTAACATCTATGCCGTCCTTGTCGACATTCAGATGAAGCTGACAAGATTGATGGCACTACAACCGACCAAGAAATTGCCGGAAATTACCCAAATACGGGACCAAACGAGAAAAAAAATTACGCAACAGGGAATTGAAATAACAAGCCAGATATGTGTTTACGAATACTGGGCGCGTACATTCAACTTTCGGTCCTGGACAACTAATTTCCATTTTCAAAGTTTGCAAAATTTTTGTGAAAAATTCGAAACACAAAGATAAACATTTTGTTTTTTTGCATAAGTTGCGACACCAATGGCATCATAAATTTTCTTAGTGTTCAGTTCTCATGAGTAAACGTTTGTGGTCGTTGTGATTTATACTTGACATTAACTCAGTTTAAGATTTGAATGGTGATTCCTAAGGTTGTTGCTTTCAACTCCGCGGAACCCATCGCTGCTTCCCCCTTCACATTCATTTGTGCCAAATACCTTTTAAATCCTATTAACTGTACAGAATTTCTCCTTCCAAATTAGGTAAAACAGAAAAGAATTACTGGAGCACTTACACTGTACGTCGACTTTTGCAGGATTTGAGAGATCATTTCCAAGGCCGTTCCTGGCAACACATCTGTAATTTCCGCTTTCCGATCTGTTAATACTCGCAATAAACAGTGTCTCGTTGTCTCCTGAAAAAGTTATCGCTTGGGTGTCATTTAAAGGAGATCCATCTTTGGTCCATGATAGTGTTGGTGGTGGATTTCCGGTCGCGTTACAAAATAAGGTCATGGGGAGTCCTTCTTCTATTGTAAAGTTCTTAGGATGCGTAATAATTTCAGGCCGATCTATTAAAAAAAAAAATTATTACTAAAAAGAATAGATAAATAAACCAGAAGCATAACCTTAAGCAGTTCTACAATCGATCAAATAATTTTTTCATTCCTTTTTTTTTGTGACAAATAAATCGCTAAACGTTCCTTTAAGCAAGAGAATTCCAAAGAATTACTAGAAAAGCCCACTCTCTTCTTCTGCCAGTTCGTTCATACATTCCTGAGAGAGATATATCTTATTTAAGAGATCTATCTTATTTAATGGGTAAACTAGAAACAGCTTGTCGTTCACTCAAACAGAACCAGGCCCTATCTGGCTTCTAAAGGCAACGTATCTGATTTGTAAAAGGTAATGCAGGTAATTGTCTTTCCATCTCTAGGATTACGAGAGACTTTTTGGACCCCCATTTTAGAATGTTGTAACACAACCCGGAAATTTCTATTACACCCAATTCTGTTTATTTATTTAATTTTTTTCGTTCAACTACATTTCTCTTGACCCGAAGTTGGTCTATACCTTATCGATAACGCTAAAAAAAGTTAGGTCTTTGAGATTGGGTATAGCTCGACTATAGTACGATTTCATGACTTAGAAAAGCAAACTTATTCTGTACTTACAAAGCACGTTTATCACAGAGCGGCCAGAAGTGTCATTTCCAACCCTATTTTTCACTAAACATCGGTAATCTCCACTGTCTCCTCTTTTCACATTTGTTATTGTCAATTCTTGAGAGTCGTTGGACAAACTGATCCTGGAGTTCTCGTCTGCTGTTATGACAGATCCATCAAACGTCCAGGATATGTGCAGTATAGGGCTTCCTGTAGCGTTGCAATACAACTTGACGGTGACTCCTTCTTCAGCAGTCACATTGTTTGGCTGAGTAATGATGGAAGGCTTTACTGTATTAGGGAAAACAGAAAAGAAACTAAGTCTGAAGCACTCCACTATGTTTTCAATGTTGTAAACAGTCTACATTTCCGCTACATTAATCATTGAAGAAATTTCTCATAGACTTCATAGGAAGTCACGAGGTGCTTTAAGATTATGCAACCCTGGAAAAATTAAAAGAAATAGCAACATTTCTGCTCTGATTAAACCTAAAGTAAAATACTTTTACTTTTATAAGGTGTACATTATGCATATTCACCCATGCCCCGGTGCTGGGTCAAATTACAATTTGTCACACAGAATAGAAGAAAAAAAACATCCTTCATCTTAAATATTTTTTAAAAAGTTTTGTGGGCAACGGAAACGGTTACAGGCAATGATTATTGGGACTTCCAAAAGGTTGTAACCATCTCTGAGAGTAGCTTATAATCTATCTCATTAAAAATTGGGATGTCCCAGCACATATCAAGAAGTCCCCGTTACCAATAAAGTAACGCGGTATTCTTGCGCACACCTGCGTACGCAGTGAATATTTAAAGATAAACGAACGGAGCAGCCGCTGCTGCTTATCTCCTTAATATGCATTTTATAGACAGCCCTTGAGCCTCATGCGAAATCTTGCTATCGGTAGCCGGTGATGTCACATTCTTTTACTTAGACCTTAAAAACTGTCTTCATTTCTTCGTTGTCTGTGAGGAGAAATCTCAGCTTATGGCTGTCCTACCCGAGAACACGGGTAAATGAGAATTTGTCAACAGCTCTTACACACCTTCCACAATGATAGATGTCGAGTCTGATGAACTATTAACCATATTTGTGACATTGCAAGTGTAATTCCCACTATCAGCCACGATAGCTGGGCTGATCGACAACTGTATTAGGCTCTCATTGAAGTGCAGAATATTCAATCGGGAGTTGTTGATCACTTTCGTTGAGTTTGTTGAAATCACCTCTCCATCTTTTATCCATTGCACATCAGTCACAGGCGGTAGGGCCTTGTGCCGACATGTTACCTTGATATCGTCGCCCTTAGCCACAATCTTCTCTTTATCACCATCAATTGTAACTTCTGGATCAACTAAAATGTAATTTAATGATTGTAATTGTATCATCATCATGGGCTTTTATTTATTTATTTTTTATCTTATGTGTATAGATGATATAACTTTCCGAGCATAATTGGTATCATATGAAAATCATACACTAGAAGTTATGAGTCTGCAAATTCTAATAGGAGGTTTTCTGGATAATGCCGAATTTGTGAAAATACTATACATGTGGACTGAAAGGTTTATGAAGGAACAAGAACAAGAAATGGAGCAGCAAAGAGAGAAAATATGTCAATTACAGAGTAAAATTTCAGTGGATAATATTGATGTATTGGCGCCAGTGGCCAACTTATACATTCATCCATCGAAGTACAAAATAACTTTTTAAATTAATTAACTGATTAGTTAAAGACAAATCCAGAGCAAATTCGCAAACCTCAAAGATTTGTAGGGTTTGTAAAAATAATAACCTGAATTACTTATGGACAACAATTAGAGAAAAAAAACCAACCAACAAACCAAATAAAAGAATTTTCCACACTCGCACGTTTCACAGAAAAACTACTGTTAGACTTACAATGTACTGTTAGGGTTGCTGAAGATGAAGTCACAGTATCCAAACTGTTATTAGCAACACATTTGTATTGTCCTGCATCCGATTGTTGAACATTTGATATGATCAATCGGTGGTTTCCATCATTGGAAGAGACTCTAAGTCGCGCATGTTCAGCCACATTCAATTCCACTCCATTTTTTCTCCAAGCAACATCGGGTGTAGGGTACCCTGCTACTACGCAATTGAACACAGCAGTTTGTCCTTCCACTTCCGTGGTATCCCTTGGAGATTGGGAGATTTCAGGGGCAACTATCAATATAAATAATGAAAAATAAATTGTTTCCTACGAAATCAAACATAATTTACTAAATGTAGTGCGACATGGTGGTTAGAGCGCTGTATCACATAAGAAAGCAAATGAAACCGACTTTCCTGAACATTCTTCACCAACGATGAATTTTAAGTATACAGCTATTTATATTTTGATCGATCCATATTTTTTAGTCGTGTCGTAAACCATAGTTGAACTCACATCGGACAGTCACTATGGCAGCGTTGGAGGTAGCATTTCCAACCTTGTTGCTCGCCACACACCGGTATGCTCCGTTGTCTTTCCTGCTCACATTCCTTATTGTCAAATGCTCTTTGTCTGTTGACAAACGGATCCGTACGTCTTCATTTGGATTTATAGAAGATCTATTTTTCGTCCATGATATTGTCAAAGAGCTTCCAGTAGCGTTGCAAAAGAAAGTCAAGTTCTCTCCTTCTTTGACCGGATCAGCTTGTGGGTGCGTCTCGATAGCAGGCGTCACTGTAGAAATGCAAGAAAGTATTTTAAACTTATGAAATTTGTCTATCATTCGTTTTTTTCCGTATCCAAACAGTTTAAATATGTGTTCTTGAGCTGGTTCCTAAGCACATAACTAAGAACTAGTTGGGATCTGAAATGTAGGAATGTAAAACACTATTATCTTTTTGCAGGAGAATAAACCAATAATAAAGATGCCACTATTTTAACATCAGTGCGACGTTTTTCAAAGTGTTTGCCACAAAGACTCCATATATGCTATTTTCTGAGTCAAATTGAAGTAGAGGGGTTAAAAAGAATATGATTTTTACACGACTAAAAGGCTCCGTGACCATAAAGATCGAGGAGGATCAAACAAACAAACTAAAAATCTCTTGGGTAGCTGATTTTTTTATCCTAAATGAGATAACTAACGCCGAGTGATTGCTTTGGGAAATTGTATTTTTGTGTTTATTCATAACGGAGCATACCTTGAACAGTAATCAATGTCCAATTCGAGGAACTACCAACAACATTAGTGACATTACAAATATAATTTCCAGCATCTTCTAAGGAAACTGTGGTGATCAACAACTGAGCTTGGCTTTCATTATGATGTGAAATAGTCGCTCTTGACCCATTTGAGGGAACGCTGAGGGTTGATGCAATCACATTCCCATTATTTAGCCACTGCACTTCAGACGCGGGAGGCAAGGCGTGAAACCTGCATGTGAGCTGTAAATCTGTGCTGTTGGCTACATAATGTATTTGATCTCCGTCAATTGTCACCTCTGGTGCAACTGAAATTTAATAAAATTTTATAAAATCATTTTTCTTTAATTTTTACAGTTAGAGTTAAATACGGAATAACGGTAATTTAGCTACGTCCTTTATAAACAGATGAACTGAGAAGGAGGAAAGGAGGATATTAGAGCTGGAAGGTGAATTTGACGATGCTGTAAAAATATGTTTCCTTTAATGCCCAACACATATCTTTACAGAATCGCCATCCAAAACTCAGATGTCAACTTATTTTGGTCCGTTTTAAAATCCTTAGTAATGTACCACCAAAGGTTGACTGGCTTTACAAAAACCTGTATCTATGGTATTTGAGGACAACAACGCTGAAGACACAATTAAACATTCAGTAATGCAATGCTTCGAATATACTTTTAAACTCACATTGAACTGTAAGAGTCGAAGGAGATGACTTAGAGGTCTGCAAACTGTTATTAGCGACACATCTGTATTGTCCAGCATCCGATTTTTGAACATCTGTTATTTTCAAAGTGTGATTTCCGTTCTTGGAAGAGACACTTAATCGTAAATTTGCTATTGAATTCAATTCGACGTCATTCTTTGTCCAAGCAACAGCAGGCGTAGGGTATCCAGCCACCAAGCAACTTAATACAACAGTTTGTCCTTCTATTTTCGTGGTATCAATTGGAGGTTCGGAGATTTCAGGCCCAACTGATATATTAAAAAACATAAAAAAATGAATAAACACACATTAGAATTGCAATTCGAAGCAATATCAAACATATTTCACAAAATATTGCACCACTTCCTGCTTCAAATGAAGGACTGTGTCCTTTAATAACCATGCAGCTGTGATTTGAATAAAAGCTAAGCGACCAAAACAAATCAACCTTTTTATTTCAACACTCAAAATATCAACGCCTATATAAACACGTCTGCAATCATCAACAACAGTGATTGAATTTTTCTCAACAAACAAAACAACAAATAGGTTACAATTCTGCTTTTCAAGGATTATTTCCTTCCGATAAAGTAACACCCTTTGCCATTTACTAAGCTTAAGCCGGCGGTTACAAAAAAATTGGGCGTAAAGAAGACTCGAATCCATAACCCTGAAATGCATGTACAGCACCACAACTTCTGGGAAACTAGGCATCATGCAAAATGAGAGTAAATAATCCTCATGAAAATCAGCTGCTTGTTCGATTTGGAAGAACTCTGCTGTGCGACAATAGAGTGATAGTTAAGAAAGATTTTCAAAACAGGTTAACTACCCTTGAAGGTTAAATATATACACGCTTCTCAGGCCAAACATATCTTTTCAGTAAATTGACATTTCGCAACAGCTCGTAAACCACACTTGTACTCACATTGAACATTTACTATGGCAGCCTTGGAGGTGGCACTTTCAACCTCGTTGCTTGCCACACACTGGTAGGCTCCGTTGTCTTTCCTGCTCACATTAACTATTGTCAGCTGTACGTTGTCTCTTGACAAAAGGATTCTCGAATCTTCACTGGGATTTATACCAGATCCATTTTTTTCCCATGATATTCTCAAAGAGCTCCCAGAAGCGTTGCAAAATAGAGTCAAGTTTTCTCTCTCTTTGACCGGACTGGCTTTTGGGTCCTGCTCTATAGATGGTGTCACTGCAAAATCCAAAGAGGTCATACGTAAACGTAAAATCTTCTTGTCAGCTCTAAAGCAGATTACTATGTTACAAATTTTCTCTTGCAGGTCTCCACTTAGGCCGGTTACTGCGTTTTATGACTTAATTCCCATCCCTCCTCTGAATGAACGAAAGTTGGCGTCTAAACATGCACAATTGTTTTTTTTTTCGCCCAATGATGTTGAGTGAGCTTTTTTTTCTTATTTACATGAGAATAAAATGTTTCGGCCAAACATGTTACTTGCAACACATGTGAGAAGTAGAGGGTCTCAATGGATCAATTGTTAACGGCCGATAGCATTAGCCCTTAGACGTAAAAATTATAAAATTTTAATTGTTAGTCGGAAAAAGATTAGGCTTTGAAAAATTTCTGGTGATCACTGTGGATAGAAAATAAAGTTTAGCCGTAAATTGACCAAAATTTTAACCATTAGCCGTAAAAGCCAACACCCTATTGAGACTCTGGAAGGACCGTAAGGTCTCAGAGGAACACACACAGAATGGTTTTTCAGTGTGTCAATTTGTTTTTTTATTTTTTATTAGTATATGAGGAAGGAATGGTTGTTGTCTAGAAATTGAGATAAGGAATTAAATTATTTTTTGAACGCGTAAATCAAGGCAAATTTTGTTTGACTGATCAAACAAATTTGATGCTCATTTTGACGAGAGAATTTTTTTGTGGCAAAAATAAATTCGTGTAATTGTGTTTACATAGAACTGCTGGGTTGGCTTTTCCTTCCAAAGGATAAGATTTTAAACGAACAAAAAAATTTAACCAGGAACACTGAGAGAAATAATGCCGCAGATATGTTGTACAGGAAGTAATGAACATCGTATACATACCTTGAATAACAATCGACGTCGAATCTGTTGTATCAGTTACATTATTTGTAACATTGCAGGTGTAATTTCCAGAATCCTGTAAGGAAGCTGAGGTGATTGAAAGCTGTGATAGACTTTCATTATAAAAGATGTTAGTAACTCTTGATCCATTGTTAGTCACAGTGGCATTTATGGTAATCACATTTCCATCTTTTATCCACTGCACCTCAGACACAGGCGGTGAAGCGTTATACCGACAGATCAACGTGAAGCTCTCGCCTTTAGCTATAAACTGCTCTTGGTTACCATCAATTGCAACTTCGGGCTCATCTGAAATTCAAATCAAACTCTTAGGTCAAAGTGATGTTTTTCAAAGCTGTTGTTCTTTTGAGTGAACAAACGCCTGCGATGGAGACTACGGTGGTATGAAATCAAAGATTCAAAATGTCACTTCATTATTCAATTCACAGGGTGAGCAGGAATCAAAAGGCTGGGAAAGAAACAACAGAGGCCTCTGAAGTCTTTGAGTTTTAATCCGAAAAATTAAATTAAATCTCGTGACTCGGCCACCGACTCGCCAGCTCATAATAAACGAGTTCCCTGTTTTCCTCCCATAAATGATAGTGTAGTAAAAATCTTTCATATTCGAATTAAAATGAATGACTCGCTTTGTTATTTAACCCTTTAACTCCTAGAAGTGACAAGCATGTAACCTCTCTCCATAAAATCAAGGCATTATTCAGAGGTTTAAAAGTGCAACACAGCTGATTTGATCATCAAACACTCGATATACGTTGATATACGTTCGTGCCTAAAAATTGAAAACGCACATTTAGGGAACGGGCAGTGGGTTCAAGTTTTCCCACTGTGCTTTTCATTTCTTTATCAAAATAATAGCAAAATTAAGAAAAATGTCCGTCTACGTGTAATTTAGATAAATTAACTCAAATATACAAACAGTGAAAGCAAGCAGCTTGCAAGAAGTTCAGGTTTTGCCGTTTTAGCGTAATAGTCGTGGTTAGCCTCTCTATTTTGATATCTTCTTGTTTCCTTTTCCGCCCTCTTAAAAAAATAATGAGTTTAAAGGGCGTGACAGTGCCTTAAGTAGACCCACGGGAAGTTTACACAAATCAAAGTGGCATATTTTGCATCTCCTTCACGCTCGATTGCCTTTGCATTTGCAGTTGTCTAGGCGTCTAAATCATTTCACGTTCAATATCCAAATAAACATTCTCTTTACTGGGTGCTTTCTACCTACTTATGTCATAATCTTAGCTCCAGTTCATTATTTCCTTAAGTTTTATCATCTAGTCATTTGAAGATGTGTTGATTTGTAAGGAGAGAGAGTACAGGTTGATCAACTCTAGCAGTGAAAGGATCTGGAAAGTTTACCGAATGTTGCTCAGTGAAATTCATCGGATATTGCAGAAAGCATTTAAATGAATAAATTACACAGCATAAAAGAATGACAAAAAAAAAAGACAAAAACGAAACTGCTGTACTTATCGCATACGTCACAGTCATGTCTAAGTCAATTTGCCGTAGATCTTAATTACTAGTCGTGACCATTACAATTACGGCTTTCGATTGTTGATCAAAACTAAATCTTAACATAGCAAGGTTGGGTAAAGATTAAAAACCGAATGTTTCAATGAGGAAAATAGGCGAATGAACCACGCACGACTTTCGAAAGGCCTTGAAAGTGCGTTACGCTTTAAACGACACGCACAATAGTTTTTTTCCCAAAGCTTTCCAAAAGAAACTTTAGATTTACCAATTCATTAAGGAAAGTTCTCGTACCCTTAATAACTGCCCTATAATAGTTTTCAATAGAAAAAGTCAGCCTTGAGGTAAAAAAAATTGACAAACTTCATCATCCGTAAGAGCTGAAATTCAAAATTCCTTGGGGTCATTCAATCGTGAACAGCTGAGCTCTAGTTACACCAAACAATAAAATATGCCTGATTCAACTTGTTAACAATTCTCAATTTTTACTCCACTTTTTGCTTAAGAATTTAGATTGAATATACCTAACCATCATAAGTCGAATTAATTGTTTGTTATGATTCGAATGTATGTGAAAACCTGAAGCTGAGACGAGCCCCTTTTAAACGTATTAACTAATCGATCTCGCTTAGCTCACTGCTTGAGTGCAAATTATCGTCTTTCGATTTATGAAGAGCAAATCGAATAAACCAGAGGCGCAAAGGAAACTTAACACACGTCTTTACATAAAACAAATTCACTTAATCGCGGGACAAGTGTAAGCTCACAGAGCACCCGGAAGTTTTGTCATAAATCAAGGAAAACTTGTTAATTGAAACTGATATCGGTCGAAAATGAGCTGGCATTATAAACTTACATATATAAGAGATTAAAAAAGTGCCCTGGATTGGCTGGTAAGGCCTAAAATCTAGAGATCTTGTATGTTTGCATATCACTACGACACGGACGTGTCACAGCCTGAACTGACAAACTAGAATGTACTCGCATAGCTGAGGCAACTAACCTTGATGTGTAAGAGGTACAGCAATTAAAAGAAGGAAAGCTATTCTAACAACCATTTCAGCATCAAACTGTCGCGTGTTCCTTCCGTTTAAAGAGCATAGTCAATTTATCGTTTTGGGAAAATTTAAATGCAATGGTATGCAAATTTGCCAAGCAACCGATTATAGGCAAATTGACAGACATGACGAGTCAATCAAATCAACAAAATTTTTTTAAGTTCAAGGCCGATCATTAATATTCAGTAACTCAGGATATAAAATGAGACGATACTAGGTCACTTAGGACTGTCTTGATTTTGAAATTTGTACGGCGAAGTACACAAGATAGGTGAATGCGTCTGATTACAGACAGTCAGGGAGTTTTATGTACTGAGGTCGCAGACTCCAAGTGGAAGTTTATTGCTATATCACGTTACCAAATGGAAACGTTCGTCTTGAGTTAGCATGGTGAAATGTTTTAGTCGAAACTGTAACAAAGAGAGAGTAAACATTGGTTCGCAGTTATCGTAATATGTTCCCAGTGACTAACTTTCTTATTATCTATAGGCAAAATAAACAAAACATTCCATATCTAAGAGTCGCTATTCTTTTTGAAAACAAACAGAATTATCTTTATGACAACAGCAGCTTTGCGGTCTGCGGTCAGAGGTTTTACAATCGGATATGATCAATATCTCAAGAGGGGATATTAATGGAAATATCACGAGTAAATTTCGGGCAGCTATCAAAAGCCAATGTTTCGTAAGGTCAGTAAATTCTGAAAACTACAAGCTCGTGGACAACTTGCACATTAGCAATATATACAGTAAACACAAAAACTAGTATCAATAAATTTCTTGAGGAATCTCAAAGCCTGCAGCCTAACTGGGTTAACGAAAAACTTTACAAATTCTAAAAAATGAACAAAGTACATGAACAGACATTCGTCGATAGAAATCGCGTCAATCGATTCCTTTTACCTCTGTCTATTGTGTACTCTTTCAAGCGATATTTCAATCCTTAAAAAAATGAGTGATTTAATTAATTTTTCCGTCGTGATTCAAAATATACTCCAAATACTCCTTGCAAGTCAACTGTGTGAGCGAGCCTTTACCATTTGACGTGCAAAAAGGTAAACCAAGCACAAGAAGGAAAAGATTCCAAACATCGATAAACAAATTGAAATAGAATGTTCTTTTCTTGGAACTTGCCAGTGGTTATGAAAATGCAATCTCAATTTGTTTAGAGCACTGAATAATCACTAGTTTTTGTGGAAAAGCACAAAGCACAACGGGAAGTTAGAGAGCTACAGCTCCTCAATATTTTAGAAAATACAATTTGCTTACATTGCACCTCCAGTGTGGCTGCATATGAGGTATTATTTCTAAAGCTGTTTTCAGCGACACATCGGTATGGCGATTGGAGGAATTGTGAGTTGTATGTGGGTTTATATGCTGAAAATGGAGCTACGCTATTCAGGCCTTATTTTCACCACTGCTCAAGTAGTGTTCGTTACTGCGAAGATCGCTTTCATATTCACGCCTTTATCCGCAGTTCAAATATATGACTTTCATATATTCACAGTCGTTTAAGAATAACTTAGTTCAATGAAAGGTGCTCTTTGATACCGTGGGGATTAAAAGTGCCGATTTTACAGATAAAAATTTATTCTAGTGTTTTGCGGCTTCCCGAACTGTCTAGATGCGGAGAAAGGCCGCAAACCGCCATATGCTGTTTAGAATGATAAGGGAGATTTAAGTGTCTAGCGATTGCTTCGGATACGTCCTCGTCATTTCATTCTACGGCGCGGACAAGTTTTGCACCAGGTTGGTCATTGGTTTGAAATGAACCTCTGACCAAAAAGTTGCCTATGCCGTTTTTGTCACGTTTGAATGAAATTAGCGAATGAGTAATTTAGCGAATTAGTAATTTAAAGTTTTTAAAGAATGATAGATTTAACTGCTTGGTTGTGAGGGTGAAATGTGAGAGTGAATGGGATGCGATCAGTATTTTCCTTCGCAGCCGTTTGTAGTGCTGACTGTCGATCAATTTGTTAGGCGCAGTGGTGGCCTGTTTGAATGACAGAAACAGAATAACCACGTTTATCGATCAAAAATTGGCACATTGTTTCTGATTATTCGGAGAAATCAGAGTCGTCACTACATAAACGACAAAGTCTGAGAACTGTGAAGAAGGTGTGGCAGTTTGCGGCCTTTCCCCAACTACAGGCAGTTCAATAAGCCGCAAAACTCTAGAATAAAAATCATCTTTCAAATCGGCACTCTTAATCCGTGCGGTATCAACGAGCGCTTTTCATTCAACTAAGTCATTCTTGTTTTCTCTTCACCATATTCCCACTAATAGCGAAGCTCCATTTCCAGCATGTAAACCCACCCATAGTTCATAATTCCTCCAATCGCTCTTTTTGCAATGCTTTGACAAAAAATAAGTGATGGAGGTTTGGGGATCTTTGGAGCCACCTCAAGTTTGGGATAATTTAATGTGGTGGTGATGAGTTGGTGAGGGGGTCTGATGGGGATGGGTGGGATTTTTTATGTGGGGGGTTTGGTGGGTTCAGGTGACGGAGTGGGGATAAATCGTCAGAGAGGGGGGTGGTGGTGACGAAATGGTGTGCCAATGGCAGACATAAACATTCATCCATCGAGGTACTATTTAACAGTTTGAATTAAGTCGCTAAGTAGTGAAAGTCAAATCCAGAGCATATTCGCATACCACAGAAATTAGTAAGGTCTGTAAAAGAATGATCTAAAGTACTTATGGTAGCCTGCGTGTAACCATACCCTTCACACCCCCCCTCCCCCCGAGATTGTGAAATGGAAGCGTGGGAACGTCTACGAAAACCTGACACTAAACTTGTTCTATGATGTCATTCTTGTGCAAGAAAACATATAATGGCTTTTAATTAGTAAACCCTTTTTGTCGATTCTTTCTTGAATTCTGAATGGCTAGAGTTGGTGGTTTTCTTTCAAAATTATCATAACTGGTGATTAGAGTGCTTTCACGGTCGACTTTACGAATAAGGGAGACCTACGACGAGGTTTGAAGACCAGTTTCCGCGACTTTTGAGATAGAGACATTTCAAGAAGAACAGCAGACAACCATAGATGTGTTTTTTGAAGATTACGACGTCTCCGTTTCGTTTCTAATTGGCTATGGAAAATCTTCAATATATCAAGCCGCGCCAGATATCGATCGCCTCTCTTCTCTATAAGAAACCGTTCACTACATTTATTGTGCCGCCCGTTAAAGCTCTCATGGAAGACCAGGTGCTCTATCTCAATGGTCTTGCGCCAAGAGGATTGTCCGCCTTCAACTTTCGGTCTCTTTGCGAACGGTGCTGCGAAGCTAATAAATTAAAACTAGTTGTTTCTTCCAGCGATTTTTTTCTACTGAGAAAAGAGTCGCTCTTTCTTCACACGTGCAGCGTAGCTATCTTTTAAAGAAATCCGTAAAACCTTGAGATTCTGCGGCAATGATCCAACTTTCTTAGACGACCGTGGCACTGAAAAACCGCTTAAACATTAAAATCTGGTTTCGTAAGCACGATGCCAATCAAACAACGTCCTGTTCTTACTCTACACCCAATATCCCCGAATATTTTTCTATATCCTTAAAGCTAAGTATATAATTGAAGGCGGACACTGAATTGCAAATTTGCCCGAAACTATGGAAAATGAATTCATTTGAATTGTTGTTTACTTCGATTACCTTTCTCGCTAGCACGTAAAAAATAATAACAAGTTACACCATTTTGCATAGATTATAATGACGCCATAGAACGCGATTAGTGTCAGTTTTCTTAGACACTTCCGTTTCACCTTGCGGAAGAGGGTACGGCTCAATTAAACAAAACAAAACAAATAAAGGAAGATTCAACACTCGCAAGCTTCACTGAAATATCTCTTACTTACAATGCACTGTTAAGGTCGCTGGAGATGAAGTCGCAGTATCCAAACTGTTATTAGCCACACATCTGTATTGACCTGCATCTAATTGCTGGACATTTGATATAGTCAATTGGTGGTTTCCATCATTGAAAGATATATTAAGTCGCGCATCTGCAGCCACATTCAATTCCGCTTCATTCTTTGTCCAAGCAGCATCAGGTGTAGGGTATCCTGCTACTATGCAATTGAACACAGCAGTTTGTCCTTCCACTTCCGTGGTATCACGTGGAGATTGAGAGATTTCAGGAGCAACTGTAAATATAAATAATAAAAATTAAATTATGAGTCTTTACAAAATCAGACATAATTTAAAAGATGTAGTGCGACCTGTTGGTTAGAGCACTGTATCAAATAAGAAAACAAATGAAACCGACGTTCCTTAAAATTTTTTTACCAAAGATGAATGTTAAATACACAACAATTTATATCTAAGTTGTATCGTAAAGCATAGTTAAACTCACATCGAACAGTCACTATGGCGGCATTGGAGGTAGCATCCCCAACATTGTTGCTCGCCACACACCGGTATGCTCCGTTGTCTTTTCTGCTCACGTTCGTTATTGCCAGCTGCTCGTTGTCTGTTGACAAACGCATCCATACATCCTTATCTGGATTTATAGCAGATCCATTTTTCGTCCATGATATTGTCAAAGAGCTTCCTGTAGCGTTGCAAAAGAGAGTCAAGTTCTCTCCTTCTTTGACCAGATCAGCTTGTGGGTGCGTCTCAATGGCAGGCGTCACTGTAGAAATGCAAACAAGTATTTTAAACTTATGAAGTTTATCTATTATTCGTTTTTTTCCGTATCCAAACAGGTTATATAAATTTTCTCGAGCCGGTTCCAACCCACATAACTAGGCACCAGTTGGAGTCCAAAATGTAGGAATGTAAAGCACTATATCTTTTCGCCAGAGACTAAACCAATAATGACGACGCCACTATTTTAACATTAGTACGACATTTTACAGAGGATTTGCCAGGAAGACTCGATACATGTTATTTTCTGAGTCAGATTGAGGTCAGAGGGATTGCAAAAAATATGATTTTTACACAACTCAAAGGCTCCTTGACCTTAAAGATCGAGCTCTTCGTCTCGGTCCTTAACGACCAAGAAAACCGAAAACAAATACCAAAGCAAAAACAAAATCCAGCAAAAACAAACAAACCAACCAACGAAAAAACAAATAATGCAAATCTCTTCAGTGGATAGGTGATTTTTGATCCTAAATGAGATAATTAACGCCGAGTGATTGCTTTGGGAAATTGTATTTTTGTGTTCATTCGTAACAGAACATACCTTGAACAATAATCGATGTCCAATTCAAGGAACTACCACCAACATTTGTGACATTACAAGTATAATTTCCAGCATCTTGTGGGGAAATTGTGGTAATTAACAACTGAGCTTGGCTTTCATTATGATGTGGAATAGTCGCTCCTGGCCCATTTGAGGGAACAGTGAGGGTTGATGCAATCATGTTCCCATTATTTAGCCACTGCACTTCAGAGGCGGGAGGCAAGGCGTTAAACCAGCACGTAAGCAGTAAATTTGTGCTGTTGGCTACATAATGTATTTGATCTCCTTCAATTGTCACCTCTGGTGCAACTGAAATTTAATAAAATGTTGTAAAACCACTTTTCCTTAATACTCAATTTTACAGTTAGAGTTAGATGCGAAATAACAGTATCTTGCCTACGTCCTTTATAAACAGATGAACTGAGAAGGTGGAAAAGAGGATATGTGAGCTGAAGGCGACTGGGGAAGACTCGCACGATCAATTATCACCCAGATGTCAACTCATTTTGGTCCGTTTTAAAATCCTTAGCAATGTACCACCAGAGGTTGACTGGCTTTAAAAAAACCTGCTAATATGTTATTTGAGGACAACAACGCAAAAGACACAATTAAACATTCAGTACTCCAATACTTCAAAGATAAACTACTGTTAGACTCACATTGCACTGTAAGAGTCGAAGGAGATGACTCTGAGGTCTGCAAACTGTTTTTAGCGACACATCTATATTGTCCTGCATCTGACTTTTGAACATCTGTTATATTCAAAGTGTGATTTCCGTCCTTGGAAGAGACACTTAGTCGTAAATTTGCTGTTACATTTAATTTGACGCCATTCTTTGTCCAAGCAACCGCAGGTGTAGGGTATCCAGCCACCAAGCAACTGAATACAACAGTTTGTCCTTCCATTTTCGTGTTATCAATTGGAGGTTCGGAGATTTCAGGCCCAACTGATATATAAAAAAAAGCATAACAAAATGAATAAATAAACCCATAAGAATTGCAAGTCACTGTAATTTAAACGTATTCACAAAATATTGCACCACTTGTCACTTCAAGTCAAGGATAGTGTACTTCCATAACTATGCAGCTGTGATCTAAGTTAAAGCTAAGTGAACAACACAAAATCAACCTTTTTCCTTCAACACTCAAAACATCAACGCCTATATAAACAGGTCTGCAATCATCAACAATAGTGATTTTTTTTTCTAAACTAACAAAACGACATATAGTTTACAATTTTGCTTTAAGGATTATTTCGTTCCGATAAAGTAACAACCGTTGCCATTTATTCAGTCTAAGTTGGCAGTTGCAAAAATATCGGGCGTAAAAATTGGGCGTTAAAAAGATTCGAATCCAGAACCCTGAAATGCCTATAAAGCACTACAACCTCTGGAAAACTAAGCATCATGCAAAATGAGAGTAAAAAATCCTCATGACAATCAGCTGCTTGTTCGATTTGAAAGAACTCTGCTGTGGCACATTAAAGTCAAAGTAATGAAAGATTTGCCCAAACAGGTCAATCACCCTTGAAGGTTAAATATTTACATATACACTTATATACATATTAAATACATATTAAATATGTTTGCTGCTTCTCAGGCCAAACATATCTTTTCAATATATTGACATATCGCAATAACTCGTTAAACCATACTTGTACTCACATTGAACATTCACTAGGGCAGCATTGGCGGTAGCAACTCCAACCTCGTTGCTCGCCACACACTGGTAGGCTCCGTTGTCTTTCCTACTCACATTAACTATTGTCAGCTGTACGTTGTCCCTTGACAAAAGGATTCTCAAATCCTCACTGGGATTTATACCAGATCCATTTTTTTCCCATGATATCTTCAAAGAGCTTCCAGAAGCGTTGCAAAATAGGGTCAAGTTTTCTCCCTCTTTGACCGGATTGGCTTTTGGGTCCTGCTCTATAGCAGGTGTTACTGAAGAAATGCAAAGAGCTCATGCATGAATGAAAAATCTTCTCGTCAGCTTTACAGCAGTTTCGTTTGTTACAAATTTGCTCTCCCAGGTGTCCCCTTACGTCGGTTATTGCGTTCTATGGCTTAATTCCCACCCTTCCCTTGACGAGACGAACGTTGGCGTCTAAACATGCATGCAATTTCCCAATGATGTTGAGGTAATATTTTTCATATTTACTTCAGAATAAACACTTTTGGCCAAACATGGTACCTGCGACGCACGTGAGAAGTAGGGGATCTCAATGGGGTAAACCGCTGACGCCCGATAAGATTTGCCCTCAGGCGTAAAAAAATTGAGAAAATTTGATTGTTAGACGGAAAAATAAATTTAGATTTAAAGAAAATTTCAGGTGATCACGGTGCAAATATATTGACCGTGAGCCGTAAATTGACCAAAAGTTTAACCATTAGCCGTAAAAGCCAACACCCCATTGAAAATCTTGAAGTACCTCAAGGTATCAGAGGACTGACGCACAGATCAGTCTTTCAATGTGTGTCACTTCATGAGTCAAATTTTGGCCACAAGCTTTTTAAAACACTTGATCTTGGACTATAAAACATTTCTTCTACTTCACATTTAAATTCTGTTCGGCCAAGAAATAAATAAACAAACAAAAAACAAAAAAACAATTACAAAACACAGCAAGAAGATTCTGAATGGGATAATTACGGCTGAGTACGTAATTTTCACAGGAAAGGAAGAATTGTCTCATGTTCAAGTTTATTTACATGGCAACATACCTTGAATGACAATCGACGTCCAATTTGAGGAGCTACCAACATTATTTGTAACATTGCAGGTGTAATTTCCAGCATCTTCCAAGGAAACTGCGGTGACCGACAGCTGGGCTTGGCTCTTATTATGATGTGAAATAGTCACACGTGACCCATTCGAAGGCGTAGCAAGAGCTGATGCAATGACAATCCCATCTTTTACCCACTGCACCTCAGACACAGTAGGCAAGGCTTTGAATTGGCATGTCAGCAGTAAATCAGTGCCGTTGGCTAAATACCGTTTTTGATCTCCATGGATTGTGACTTCTGGCACAACTAAATTCAAGGATACGACGTAGAAATTGCTCATTAATAACATCATATTGAATTAAGCGGAGAACATTGTAAAACGAGAGCTCACCTAGGACCCTTAAAGAGTGTCTCCACCAGAGTACCAGGCAGTCGTGCTACATGCCATCTCACCGATTTTAATGAAACTTTGCCAGTTTAAAGGGTCTACCCCAAAACTAAAACTGGTTTCTGTTTTAGTTTTTTTTCCGGGGGAGTTAGACCACCCCCCATCCACCCGTTTTCTTGGTTTTCACGAAGGAAATCGCTTCAAAATTGGTAAAATGTATGAAACTCCCACTGCGATGGTATTAAGCCAATTACTCTGAGGGTTTACACACATTATTACATCCTTCGTAAATGTCCGACGCAATTATCCAAAGATGTAATGATGGATTATAAAGGATAATTAAGATTAGTGTTGTAGCTTTCTGGCAAGGGGAGATATTTGACCTCAAAGTTGTCAAGTATTTGGATGAATCAAAAAGTCTAAAAACACAATCGTTTGCCTCTGTTGATTGACAAACCGTCAATTAAATTGACTGATTCTAGCGTATGATATTTACTAAGGATGTAATCATATGTGTGCAAACCCTCAGAATAATTCGTTGAATATCATCGAAGTGAGAGCTTCATACATTTTACCTATTTTGAAGCGATTTCCTTGGTGAAAACCAAGAAAACCGGGAAGGTGGTCTGTTTCCCTCCGGAAAAAAACAAAACAGTAATCAGTCTGTCTTTTTGAGTTTTGGGGTTGACCTTTAAACTGGCAAAGTTTCATCGAAATCGGTGAGATGGCATGTAGCACAACTGCCCGGTGCTCTAGTGGACACCGTCTTAAAATATGTCAATTTTTACGCTTAACGTGTTAAGTTTATGGCTGTTTTACGGCTATCGGTTAACCCCATTGAGACCCTCGTGAAAGATAAATGTTAAATACGTTTTCTTTCAAAAGAAGGCGAGAGTAACTAAGCGTGATCGTGGTGAGCGGCGAAAGTCTGTCTGTCTCTCAAAAATATAGAAGTATCAATAACATGCAAGTTGGGGCATAGTCGGTTGCGTAACGCGTCAAGACCAATTTCGCGCAAAAAAATGCTTGATGATTATAAAAGAGGGAATTTAGAATAAACTACACAGGGTACTCACCGGTCGTTGTGGATTCATATTTCGCTTCAAATCCACGATCAACTGTTTGTCCAGGATGGAACATTACAAACATTTGGTTTCCATTTGACCACTGAGTCTCACTCCATGACGACCCCTGACAAAATCGCCCCAGCAAAGGCGAACTTGTTGACCCACCATCATAAAGCTCCACATAAGCACAAGAATCCGAACAAAGATTGGCTAAACACTCACTTAAGACAAAGTCCGTAAACGTAAACTTTACAATCTTGTGAGCTGGCGCGGTAATTTTCCAGGTACAATTTCTGGACGCAGTGTAGTTACTCTTTGGGTAGTTTGTGCTGCTTATTTTCCCATTGCCTGAGAGAGGAATTGCCTTCTTGGGACAAACTGTAAGCAGTGAAAAAGGAGCATGTGAGTGTGGGAGAATAAACATAGGCTATTCTGGGCGTTCAGTTGGTAAAACGCAGTGCCATATTGAACAGCACGAGAGCAGCAGAGGAATGAAAAAACGAAGGAGGGGTGGGTCATGTTGCGAAATCAACTTCTTCATTTCCCTACCAGACCCAAATCTCACTCTATTTTTCATGACGCCGCTACTAGCGTGCCTTTGGCTATTTCGCTCTGTTTTACTAACTAAAACGAATGGAACAGGCAGAATAAACATGGATTGGTGATAGATATATGGTTTCTTTCACAGATGGCGTCAAAATGAACATAGGGTGACATCATCTAGTATCTCTTCCTGAACAGACGCATGGCAGCGTGGAATCTAATTGTTTCATACACGATGAAGAAGCAAATTGTTGTAAATGGTGAAGTCATTTATGCCTCTGTTCTCCTATAGGTGATAAATAACAACCAATCAAAATGTTTATCATGTAACTGTTGATTCGATCAATGGTCAAAATCTATACAGACCAAAACGGCTCAAAACCATACTCTTTAGGCTGATACATTCCAATGTGGCTTTTATGAGTGAGTAGCCCCAAGGCAAGATTATGAATATTTTAAACTCGTTACGGTGACCAATTTACATTATCAACTCAGTTGATGAAACCAAATCATCTTGTTATACTCCCCGACCGACGTAGCATCACAGTTTCTTTGGAAACTTACCACCTTTATCCTATTAAGTTTGGCATGGCTTCTCAGTACATCCGCTGCTTACACTATACATTAGAGATGTTCGCATTCACCCTGACTTGATAACAGAGAGAACCTCCACTCTTATTCACTAAGCTCCTTATCATTATTTGTATGGGTGAATTTATTGCATGTAACATATTCTCTCAGTGAACTCTGAGATCTCATGACGTTGCTTTCTCTACTTACTTGGAGGACTGTAGTTCAACAGCTTGTAAGTTGCCCCAAATCCGTCATAATCCATGTTTGCATCATCGGACACAAACAGCACCCTCAAGCTTTCGTGCAGTGAATAAAATTTTATAGGAGTATACCTTGGTGTACCACATAGCTTTCCAGGCGGAGCATTATCACTGAAGCTGTTCTGAACTTCCACATAATCAGACGAGCAAGCAGCGCCACCACAACGTTGAATATTATAGTCTGGTAATGTGAGCTCAACACGGTATCCTTGCTTTCCTATAATCTTCCAGCTACATGTCTGGTTGAATGGATAGTTTCTTGGATTAAAGGGAGAGGAGAAAGAACCTGATGCTTCATCGAGGATCATATCTGTTGGGCACACTGCAAAAAGACTGCCAGCTTTAGTAAAATGCATCTTATTTCCTGTAAGAAACTTAATTATTAAAAGAAAAATCTTAACGAAGCTTCTTTCTCTCCGAAAACTGCTCAAGTTTTGATGAGGTTTACTGTCCACTGTGGCCAACTGGATGATTTCGAATACCGCCTTCAGCTCCTTTTCCGTATGTTGTACGGTTATATACTTGAATCAATGTAACGATTGTGAAATATAGCAGCTTGCGTTCGAGTAAAAGGCTTGACTATTTGCAATTTTTTTTTCTACAGTCTATAGCAAAGATTGCTTACTTTATTATTTGCATGATATACTCAACAAAAATTCTCGCTCAGTTTAATAGGGATGCATGCTCAGTACACTTCCATAGTTCTGGTTAATAAACTACCATAGAAGATAAGCTCTTACGTGAATCTCCATCTATCGCCTCAAAGGATGCATTGAACCCTTTGTTTACAAGGCCGGTGCCAGATTGAAATCTCACTTGAATGAAATTTCCCTCGGAGTACACAGGAGGGGGAAGTTTTTGACCACAGATCTTAAAGTCATTAGGATTCCCTCCATGGGAGGCAACGTTTGTGATAAAGACTCGGGCGCTATCTGCTGCCGCTCCAGCACAGTCATCATTTTCATCTGCTACCAGGGTAAATTTCAAGAAGGTCAGTTTGATGATTTTCCCACCGGGTACCGTGATATTCCAGATACAATTCCTGTTTGCGTCAAAGTTGTTGGGAAAATTGGGGCTGGATATGTGACCACTAGTAGCTTTAATGGACTCTCCAGGAAGGCTGCAGGCTGAAAAAAAGGTATCTCTCAGTTACTCTTTTGGTTTCTTACTCTGAGCTTCAAGGAAGGTCACGCGGTTACGCTACAAATACTATTTCTGCGTGGAATTTCTTGATGGTGAAAAGTGGAAAAAACATTTTCCAGTCTTCTTTTCTGGAAACATGGCGCAGTTAATGAATTTTATGGGTCTTTTGATATTTCCTTTCAAATGAGGGGGGGGCAGAGTTTCCTGTCATCCACGGCCTGGAAAAGCCGAAGTTGTTACACACGGGAGCGTGGGCGGAGTTAATATGCCAAGCCTCCAAACAAAGGCGCTGGTGGTAACGCCGATTAGTGGGAAAAGCCGAAGTTGTTACACACGGGAGTGTGGGCGGAGTTAATATGCCAAGCCTCCAAACAAAGGCGCTGGTGGTAACGCCGATTAGTGGTGATAGTTTTAGAATTATCCCACCCAATCGTATGGTTAGTTAGGCATATGTGCTCCGATAAAGCTGAATTTTCCTTTTTGCAAAGGAAAACCGCTTTTTGGTGCTCTTTTAACCGTGTACCAAACTGACGTTTGGTCTGTCCGATGTATTCGTTGTCACAGTTATTGCAAGGAATAGAATAAATGGCGTCGGTTAGTTGTTCTTTCGTGACAGGATCCTTGGGTTTGGCGAAAATGTGCTCCAAAGTCTGAAAAGGTTTTTGAGCAACTTTAACGTTGTGGCTATTCAAAATTCTCTTAATGGGTTCCGTAACACTCTGTACGTAAGGAATAACAGCAAAACCAGTCGCTGGTTCTCTTTCATCAAGAGCGTTACTATTTGTAACTGGTTTTTGGCAGTTACGGAGAAAAGTTTTTGTATAGCCATTTGCCTTTAGAACAATGGAAACATATTTCCTCTCCTCAGCCTTCGAATCGAGTGAAGATGGTGGACAGTCAGCCCTCCTAAGTAAAGTTTTGGCTACAGACTTTTTATGGCAAATAGGGTGGTGAGAATCGAAGGCGAGGTATTTGTCGGTGTGGGTAGGTTTACGGTAGACACTTGTCTCTAGATTACCCTGAACCCCTCTGGACACATTTAAATCAAGAAAGGGCAAATGTCTATCCTTTTCATGTTCGAGAGTGAATTGGATCGACGGCTCTACTGAATTCAAATGCGACAAGAGGCGCTCCGCTTCATATCGGAGCACACATGCCTAACTAACCATACAATTGGGTGGGATAATTCTAAAACTATCACCACTAATTGGCGTTACCACCAGCGCCTTTGTTTGGAGGCTTGGCATATTAACTCCGCCCACGCTCCTTTAAATCGTGACGATGGCAGTTTGCTTCCTGACGCCTATTTACACCTCGTCAGAAAAAAAAGGCCGCTAATTAGTGATCATATAATAGGACCTCTTGTTTCAGCGTTTAGATCACCCCTGATGAAGGCACTAGAGGAGTGTTGAAACGTTGGGTCTATGAATTGTAACTTCTTCGGTTACATTCATTAAATCTGCAAACCAGAGTAGCATCAAACTATGGCCAAGTTAATTCAAGTGTATGAACAGTGAAAGTAGGCAGCTTCAAGAGGTTCAGTTTTTGCCTTTTAGCGTAGTCTTCGTGGTTAGCCACTCTATTTTGATATCCTTGCTTCCTTTTACTCATGTAAAATAAATTTGAGTTAAAACTGCGTGACAGTGCTTACAAGCACACCGTGGGAAGTTTACACGAATCAAAGTAACATTTGCAGCTTGATTACCTTTGCATTTGCAATTGCCTAAGCGTCTTAATCATTTCACGTTCAATGTCTAAATAAACATTCTCTTCACTGGGTGCTTTGTACCTACTTATGTGATAGTCCTAGCTCCTGTTCATTATTTCCTTAAGTTTTATCATCTAGTCATTTGTAGACGTATTGATTTGTAAGGAAAGAATGTAGATTGATCAACTCTGACAGTGAAAGGATCTGGAAAGTTTACCAAATGTTGCGCAACGAAATTCATTGGATATTCCACAATGTATTCAAATAAAAAAATCACAGCATAAAAGGAAGAAATAATAAAAAGCGAACGTTTCAATCAGGAAAAAAGGCAAATTAACCACGCATGACTTTGGAAAGGCCTTGAAAGTGCGTTGCGTTTAAATTTCTCTGAATTTTTCAAAAGCGCCTTAAAATTTACCAATTCATCAAGAAAAGTTCTCTTTAATACGCTTATCAATTGCCTTGTATAGTTTTAAACGGAAAAATCCAGCCTTTGTGATAGAAAAAATCGCCAAACTGAATCATCCGTAGGAGCTGAAATTCAAAATTCCTTAGGGTTATTCAATCGTGAACCGAACAGCTCGATTTACTCCAAACATCAAACTATGTCATGTATGGTTTAACTTGCTAACAATTCTCAATTTTTATTGCACTTTTTGCTTAAGAATTAAGATTGAAGGTATCTAACCACCATAATTCAAATGAATTGTTTGTTATAATTAGAAAGTATATGAAAGCTGAAGCTGAGACGAGCGCTGTTGGACGTATTAACTAATCGATTTAGCCGTGTTTAAGAGCAAGTTATCGTCTTTCAATTGATGAATGGCAAATCTTATAATCCAGAAGTTCAAACTAAACTTAAATTACAATCCATCACATCAAACAAATTCACTTAATCACGTGACAAGTATAAGCTCATGCAACACCCGGAAGTTTTGTCATAAATTAAGGAAACATGTTAAGTTGAAACTAAAATCGATCGAAAATGAGCTGGCATTATGGACTCTAAGATATCTCGATGCAAAAGGTGCCCTGGACAGGTTGGTAAGGCTTAAAATCTAGAGATCCCTTCAGTTTTACAATTATGCATGCACAACACTAGAACACAGATGCGTGTCGCAGCTTGGATTATTAAACTAGAATGTACTCGCTAAGCTGAAGCACCTAACCTTGATGTGTAAGAGGTACAGCAACTAAAAGAAGAAAAGCTTTTCAACATCAAACCGTCGCGTGTTCCTTCCATTTAAAGAGCATAGTTATTTTATCGTTTAAGACAAATTTAAATGCAATAGAATGTAAATTTGCCAAACAACCAATTATAGGAAAATTGACAGACATGACGAGTCAATTAAACCTACAAAATCTTTGAAGTCGAGGCCGGCCATCAATATTCAGTTACTTAGAATATAAAAAAGGAGACGGTATTTGGTCGCTAAAGACTGTCTTGATTTTGAAATTGAACGGCGAGTTACACAAGATAGGCGAATGCATCTGACTACAGACCGGGGAAGTTCTATTTCCCGAGATCGCAAACTCCAAGTTGAATCACTTATCGCTATATCACGTTACCAAATGGAAACGTTCGTCTCGACATGTTCCTCTCGAAACTGTAACAAAGCGAAAGTAAGCATCGGTTCGCAGCTATCTTAACATGTTTCTAGTGAATAACTTTCTTGAAGACCATTGTTATCTATGGGCAAAACAAACAAGAAATTTCCAGAGTCGCTATTCTTTTTGGAAACAAACAACGTTATCTTTTGACAACAGCAGCTTTGCGGTCTGCAGTCAGAAGTTTTACAATCGGATATGATCAATTTTAAATATTTTCAAGAAGGTATATAAATAGAAATTGACACGAGTAAATTTCGGGCAGCTATCAAAGGCCGATGTTTCGTAAAGTCAGCAAATTCCGATAAGTGTTGGCTCTTGGACAACTGGTACGTTAGCAAACTACAGTAAACATAAAAGCTAAGTACATTTTTTAAGTATCAGCAAATATCTTAAGGAATCTCAAAGCGTGCAGCCTAACTGAATTACCAAAAACTTAACAATGGCGTTAGAAATCACGTCAATCAATTCCTTTTGCGTCTATCTATTGCTTCCTCTTTCAAGTGATGTTTCAATCCTTCAAATATGATTAATTTGTTTTTTCTTAATTTGAGTCAAATTCAGTCGTAGTGATTCAAAATATATCTTCAGATACTCCTTGAAAGTCAAATGTGTAAGCGAGCCTTTCCCTTTTGACGCGTTTAAATGAACAGGCACAAAAAGGAAAAGATTCCAAACATCGATAGACAAATTAAAATAGGATGTTCTTTTTTTTGGAGCTTGCTAGTGGGAATGAATGAAAGCGCAATCTCGTTCTGTTTAGAGTACATGAATTGACAGACAGCCCAAGCTCCAGAAGTGAGATGATCATCTTGCGAAATAGGTTTCATGGCGAAATTATAAGAGTTTGTTTTATAAAATAATTCAAACAGTACGCGCGCTCTGATTGGCCATAAAACCATTTTACATGAGCGTATGTAAACACGGTTTTCGTTCCTCTTTCATTAGTTATTTTATAAAAGAAATGTAAAATGGTTTCCGTGTTTACATAGCCTGATGTAAACACGCGGGAGGTTGGGAGAACACGAGATAAGCGTAGGAAACCACTCCGCTTCGCGTCGTGGTTTCCTACGCTTATCTCGTGTTCTCCCAACCTCCCGCGTGTTTACATCAGGCTATGTGAACACGGAAACCATTTTACATTTCTTCATTAATCATGAAAATGATAGCAGTGCAAGCATGTCAACCGTGATTAGTACACTAAACATTCCTTAAAGAGATTAAAGGAGCAAATTTTAATTAATATTGAGGCTAAAATATAGCGGAGCATCCACTTTGTTTACGACGGTATATTGTACTCAAAGAAAATTTAAAGCTTCTGACTCTGCTAGAGTCTTGTTCACGGTGAATTGGTCAGATTACGAGACAAGTGACGTGATCAACCTAGTTCTGATCTTTAGAGGGTTTAAACTCCCTCCTCTCCTCGTCTCTATTCATACCAGTGATATCGCATGGCATGTAAATTTAGTGAAAACAAGGCTCAAACAGAGCCAAAGATTGCCATTTTTTATTATTATTATTTATTTATTAATCTTTTTTATTTTTTTATTTTTTTGCGCCCTGTAACGTCAAGAATTTAAGACCTTGACAAAAACAACTCCATTTCAATTACTTAAGAAATAGCTATTATCTTCTCAATATCATAGATAAATTCGCATAACCATGATAAAGTTATCGC